CCTCAAGTATTGCCTCTGCTCCATTCTCTCCTTCCATTCCCTTTGGAATTCTGATTAAATGAATATTAGCTCTGCTGGTCTCCTCCATGTTTCCTAACTTTTTTTTCTCTATTTACCATATTTTTCTAAAATACCTTCTAATTTGCTGTTGTATTTATCCACTCAACCTAACTATTCATATATTGTAACCATTTCTGTACAATATCATTGGTTCTTTTTCAAATCTGATCACTACCTTTTTGGAATATTCTGATATTTTAAGTTTGTACATCTGTTTCTTCTCCGTACCAAGGCAACATTCCCTTCGCTCAGCTGGTTATGAGAGGGTAGGTATATTTCAGGTTTCTTTTTACATCAGTGAAGAAGAGGTCATGTTACGTTCCTACCTTGGGCAGGCCCTAGGTGTCAACTTTTGATTCCTCCATGCATGAGACTGCTCAAACCAAAGCCCAAATGGGCCAAGATCAACAAGTTCCCTCAGAGTGAAAGCAGCCTCTGTGCATCAGTGCTTATGTCTCCAGATTCTAGTGTTTTTTAAGATTTTGGCTCAGAATTTCCTTACTACCTTGACACCTCTACAAAGCTTTTATAAAATATAATAATTTTTCCAATATTTTAAGGTGTTATATTTGCAGAAGGATCAAAAATAGAAATAAAATACATAACTTTAAAAGGAAGAGATGTTTTCTTTAATATGTGTGACTTCTTTTCATGTCGGAATCATGCTAGCTGCACAGAGTTGGGAAGTAGCCCCTCCTCTGCACTTTTTTGGAAGAGTTTATGAAGAATTGGTATTAATTTTCTTTCTTAAGTGTTTGGTAGAATTCACCGGGGAAGCCCTTCCAGGCCTGGAGTTTTCTTTGTGGGATAGTTTTAAGTTATACATTCAATCCTATATAATAAAAGGCTAATATGCAAATCGACCAAACGGTGGAATGACCATTCGCTATGATGCATACTGACCACCAGGGGGCAGATGCTCAATGCAGGAGCTGCCCCCTGGTGGTCAGTGCACTCCCACAGGAGGAGTACCGCTCAGCCAGAACCCGGGCTCACAGCTGGCGAGTGCAGCAGAGGTGGTAGGAGCCTCTCCCTGCCTCCAGGGCAGCGATAAGGACGCTGAGGAGTCCTGGACTGCTAGAGGTCACAGGCCGGGCTGAGAGACCCACGCCCCCCCACCCAGTGCATGAATGTCATGCACCGGGCCTCTACTATCTTTAATAAATATACATATATTTAGTTTATTCATTTCTTCTAGGATGAGCTTTGGTAGTCTCTGTCTTTCAAGGAATCTATTTCATCTAAGTTGTCAGACTTATTGGCACGAAGTTGTTCATAGTATTCATTCTATTCTTTTAACATCTTAATAATCTGTATTGATATCTCTTTTCTCATTCCAGATATTGTTAATTTGTGTCTTCTCTCCTTTTTTCTTTTGCTAATCAGTCTGGCTAGAAGTTTATTAATTTATTTTACTTAAAAAAACTTTTCATGGATTTCTACTATTGTTTTCCCTTTTCTATTTCACTGATTTCTGCTATGGTCTGTATTATTTCCTTTCTTCTGCTTATTTTGGGTTTGTCTTTCTCTTTTGCCAATTTCATATGGTAAAAGCTGATATCACTGAATTGAGACCTTCCTTCTTTTCTAACAGGCATTTTGTGCTATACATTTCTATGTATAGATTTAGCTGCATGTAATAAATTTGATTTGTTGTGTTTCCAATTTCATTCAGTGCAAAATACTTTCCTTCAGTTCAAATCCTTCTTGATTTCTTCTTTGACACATAGGTTATTTAGAAATGTGATATTTAGTTTCCAAATATTTGGATATCATTAATTTCTCATTTTTTGGCTAGTTTTTTTTAAATTAAGAGAGTTTATTTTATAAAACCATTTCAGGTTTTCAGAAAAATTGGGCAGGAAGCACAGAGTCCCCAAATAATATTTTTCTCTCTCACCCCAGTTTCCCCTATTATTAACATCATACGATACATTTGTTGCATTGTCTTCAGTTTACATTAGGGTTCATTCTGTGTTGCATAGTTCTAGAAGTTTTGACACATGCATAATGTTATGTATCCATTATTATAGTTTTCTATGGAACAGTTTCACTGGCCTAAAAATTCCCTGTACTATACCTATTGATTCCTTCCCTCTCCCCCTCCCTAAATCCTTGCCAACCACTGGTCTTTTTATTGTCTCTATAGTTTTCCCTTTCTGGAATATTGTATAGTTGGAATCAGAGAATGTGTAGTCTTTTCAGACTGGCTCATTTTCCTCAGCAATATTCGTTTAAGGTTCCTCCACGTCTTTTCATGGCTCAATAGATCATTTCTTATTATTGAATAATATTCTATTTTTCTGGATATACCACAATTTGTTTATTCATTCACCATTCATTTGGTTGCTTCTAGTTTCTGGCAACTATGATGAAAGCTGCTATAAACATTCATGTTCAGGCTTCTGTGTGGACAATTTTTTAAATCATTTGGATAAATACCTGGACACTAAGAATATGATTTATTTGTCCAGGGTCTTATAGTTAGGGAATAACAAAACTGGAGTTTGAATCCAAACAATCTGATCCAGAGCTTGTCCCCTTAACCACTGTGCTAAACTGCCTTTCAATGTGCAATATAAGACAGGTAAACATAGTAAAGGAAGATTTCACAGATGATGGGGCTTGAGTCCAGAAACTTTCAATGTGGAGTATGGTGAGATGTTTCTTGGAAAACTATAGTGTGGGATCGTGAAGATGGTTGCATAGCAATGTGAATTGCTTAATGCCACTGAGTTATAAACTTAAAAATAGTTAAAATGGTAAATGTTATGTTATGTGTATTTTACTGAAATTTTTAAAAAAAGTATAGTGTGCATGTTGGTTCATGGGTGTGGGAATAAATTAATCTAACTGAAGTTAAAGTTTTATTGAGAGAATAAAAGGCAATAAAATTGGATATGTTAATTTAGCACAAAATCAATATGAACTTTTAATTATAGTATAAGGTACTGGGGAATCATTGAAAATTTTAGATGTGATAGACATGAAACCTGGAATTTAAAAGTGTTAGATTGTGCTGTATGAGAACTTTATTGAAGTGAGGACAAGGCTAGAGACAAGAGAGCCAACTCAACTCAGCCTAGCTATGTTCATGTGTGTATTTTCTCATTTCCTCCAAAAGCAGCATTATGAGGTAGGTATTATCAACTCCATTCTATAGTCAGTGAAGCTAAGGTTGATTCAAGTTCATAGTACCACTATATAGTAAAAGTACAGTAATGTAAAACCAGATCTCTTAACTTCAAAGGCACTGGGATTCATGGATAGCACCAGTAACATGGACTTGGGAATAAATAGACCTTTGTCAGAATCCTGGCTTTGTCTTTCTACTATGTGGTTCTAGGAAGATTTTGTTTGTCTGAGCCTCAATTTTCTTGTCTTTGAAAATGTGATAAAAATATCCATCTCCTAAAGATTACATTCTATGTATATAAAGTGATAAGCCCAGTATATAGTACTCAAGAAGTGCTCAATAATTGTTCATTCACTTTCTTCCTCCTTAATTTCTGATGTTTTCCTGACATTTTTAATAGTATGCATATATATGAATCATTAAATAATGTAATTGTCTAATAATATTTAAAACTTTTTATTTGTAAATTTAGAGGGCTTTTTGCATTGAGAAATGATAAATTTCCTCACATTAGTCTCTTTCTGGATAGTAGAAAAGCACATTTTACTAATTATAGGCACAAAATGCTAAAGAAAAATTATGAACATGGTTTGGAAACTCATGTACATATTTATTTAACACCATTTCATATCTTTAAGAGAGCTTTTGGAAAGTTATTTAGAAAGCTGAAAAGTCCTTGAATACCAAGTGGTTTAACAGGAATTTTTTAATGAGTTAAGTGTAAATGAATAAAAAACACATGAATTCTATTTTCTATAAATAACACAGGGTTTTGAAAACTGAAAATGTACTTGGAAAAAATGTCTTCTGTGTATGATTGAATTAAAATTCTTAAAAAATAATGTCCCCCTTGCCAAATGAGGCAAACCCCATTTGGATTCTAGAGTACTACCAGTTAAAGTTCTCTCTGTTTAGAAAGAAAATACTGACCACAGCGTATCTTATATATTTGATTTTGTTGAAATACAATTACTTTAGGATGGTGTCCAAGCCTATATCTGATGAGACTTCTTGGCTATTTCGATTTTCACAATGGGTAGAATTAAATAATTTTCTTTTTGGACAAAAGTAAAAGCAATTGTTTTCATCAACTTAAATCATTTATATGGGAGCAACTCTAGGACTTCAGACATGAGAACAGTGGGTGGGAGCAAGGGGAGGATTGTTGGCAAAATGTGACATCACAATTTCCCAAGAAGAATAGTTTATTTTGAATTAATCAACTACATTTTCATCAAAATATCAAGACCTTTCACTAACAATGCCACGAGTATAGGTATCTCCAAATATTTTAGTTCCATTCTGCATAAGGTTTCTCTCTCTCTCTATCTATCTCTCTCTCTCTCTCTCTCTCCTCTCTCTCATTCTCCTAAGAAGATAGCTACACATTTGAGATCCAGATGAGGCAATCATCATAATTTTAATGTTATCGTTCTTCTGGATGAAACCATCTGATCCCTTCTTTTGGTATTTAGAAGTTTCTACTCATTTGAAGTAGTGGAAATATTTTAGTTCCAGTCTGCATATAGCTCTCTCTCTCTCTCTCTCTCTCTCCTCTCTCCTCTCTCCTCTCTCCTAAGATGGTAAAACTGACTACATTTTGTTAGCTGTAAAATGAATGCAGATAAAATTGCTTTGGGATAAAGCATATGTTTGCACACTGAATGAATCCTAATATATGACCAAGTAGACACTGATTAAAAGGACCAGGAGAACTGGCAGAGGGTAGACATACACATCAATGTAAGAAAGTTGAGAGTCCAGAGATAAACCCTCATACTTACAATCAATTGTTTTGCAACAGAAAAAACCAAGATGGCGGCATAGGTAAACACCGGAAATTGCTGCCTCCCACAACAAGTTCAAAAATACAACTAGAAGACAAAATGGACATCATCCAGAACCACAGGAAGGCTGGCTGAGTGGAAATTCTACAACTAGAAGGAAAGAGAAAGGCACATTGAGACTCAGAGGAGGTGCGGAAGTGCAGCGGTAAGGAGGCGCATGTGGCAAGGGCTGGCAACTGAGGACGCGACTGTCTTTTTGAATCGGGAGGGAGTCACAAGCCCCCGACTGCTCTGAACTCCAGTTCCGGGTGAGCCTCTGGGGACCCAGACTCATACGGGGAGAAACTGGACTGTCTGGCAGCGGGCAGAACTCGGAACTCGAGGGCGGCTTTCTCTCAAAGGTGCTTGCAGCAATTACCGGGACACTGAGACACGGGGCCCCTTAGGGTAGGCCTGAGGATCAGCTATAGCTGCTTGCTCCGCCCTGTTGATTCCCTGAGACCCCGCCCCATCCAAGCTGCAGCAGAGGCTTTTGCATATGAAAGGCCTGGCCCTTTGAGATCTAAAATTACCTAACAAACTGCAGCTGGGCCAGACAGACCCAGAACTTCCAAGAGAAGGCCCAAGGCACCACAGCAGCTTGCATTGCTTCACAGCTGGGCCTCATTTCGGCACCTCCAAACCCCAAACAAGGAAGGGGAATCTGCAGATCTCTCCGTAGCTCCTGCTGGGTAGCCTCAGGCAGAGGCTAAATTAGCACCTCCTTAGAGATCCAAGAGCCAGTGTACCCAGTGGTCAGAGTGGGACCATCCAGATTACAACTCCTCAGATCCATAAGGGACACACTCAAGGGGCAGACTCAGTGAGCGCCAAAGCCCCACTGAAGCAAGTCTTGCCTCATAAGGGTGTCTTCAGCACAGAAGTTCTCCCACCATAGATACAGCTGACTCTCACAGCCAATTGGCCTGGAGGTCAATTCCTCCCAGTGATACCAACAACAATCAAGGCTTAACTACAACAAGACTGTGCACACAGCCCACAAAGGGGTGCACCAAGAGTGTCCACCTCAGGTAATTGGGGAGGCTGAGCCACTGGGCCCTATAGGACACCTAGCACACAAAGCCACTCTACCAACACAGGGAAGCATAAAAAATGCGGAGACAAAGAAACAGGTCACAAATGACAGAAATGGAGGAAAGCAAACGACTGGATATAGAGTTCAAAACGACACTTTTAAGGTTTTTCAAGAACTTTCTAGAAACCGCTGATAAATTTAGTAAGACCCTCAAAAAGACTGGTGAGACCACCGATAAATGTAGTGAGAGCCTCAAGAAATCTAGTGAGACCCTCGAGGTTATGAAAAAGGACCAACTAGAAATTAAGCATACACTGACTGAAATAAAGGATATTATGCAGAGTTCCAACAGCAGACTAGAGGATCACAAGAATCAAGTCAAAGATTTGAAATACGAAGAAGCAAAAAACACCCAACCAGAAAAGCAAAATGAAAAAAGAATCCAAAAATACGAAGATAGTGTAAGGAGCCTCTGGGACAGCTTCAAGCGTACCAACATCAGAATTATAGGGGTACCAGAAGAAGAGAGAGAGCAAGATATTGAAAACCTATTTGAAGAAATAATGACAGAAAACTTCCCCTACCTGGTGAAAGAAATAGACTTACAAGTCCAGGAAGCGCAGAGAACCCCAAACAAAAGGAATCCAAAGAGGACCACACCAAGACACATCATAATTAAAATGCCAAGAGCAAAAGACAAAGAGAGAATCTTAAAAGCAGCAAGAGAAAGAAATTCAGTTACCTACAAGGGAGTACCCATACGACTGTCAGCTGATTTCTCAACAGAAACTTTGCAGGCCAGAAGGGAGTGGCAATAAATATTCAAAGTGATGAATGCCAAGAACCTACAACCAAGATTACTTTATCCAGCAAAGCTATCATTCAGAATTGAAGGTCAGATAAAGAGCTTCACAGATAAGGAAAAGCTAAAGGAGTTCATCATCACCAAACCAGTATTATATGAAATGCTGAAAGGTATCCTATAAGAAGAGGAAGAAGAAGAAAAAGGTAAAGATACAAATTATGAACAACAAATACACATCTATCAACAAGTGAATCTAAAAATCAAGTGAATAAATAATCTGATGAACAGAATAAACTGGTGATTATAATAGAATCAGGGGCATAGAAAGGGAGTGGACTGACTATTCTTGCGGGGGGGAAGGGGTGTGGGGGATGCGGGAAGAGACTGGACAAAAATCGTGCACCTATGGATGAGGACAGTGGGGGGCGTTGAGGGCGGAGGGGGGGTGGGAAATGGGTGGAGGGGAGCTATGGAGGAAAAAAGAGGAACAACTGTAATAATCTGAACAATGAAGATTTAATTTAAAAAATTGTTTTGCAACAAGTGTGTCAAGACAATTCAATAGGAAATAAACAGTCTTTTCAAAAACTAATGCTGGAACAACTAGATATCTAAGTGTGAAAGAATGAAGTTGGACCCCTACTTTATACCACATACAAAAATTTAACTCAAAACAGATTAAGGACCTAAATGGATCAAAGACCAACTCAAATGAGTCAATGCTAAACTATAAAACTATGAGTAGAAAACTAAGCATAAATCTGTATGACCTTAGATTTAGCAATGGTTTCTTAAATATGACACTAAAAGCACAAGCAAAAGGGAAAAAATAAAGTAGACTTTGTCAATATTAAAAACATCTGTGCTTCAAAGAACAAGAAAGTAAAAAGACAAAGCACAAAATAAGAGAAAAATTTGCAAATCATATTTCTGATAAAGGACTTCTATCTAATATAAGTAGAGAGCTATTACACTTAATAATAAAAGATAAATAACCCAACTTAAAAGTTGGCAAAGGATCTGAATAGACATTTTTTTCAAAGAAGATATACAAATAGATAATAAGCACATGAAAAGATATTCAAAGTCATTAGTCATTAGGGAAATGTAAATCCAAACCACGTCATAATTACTAGGATGGATGTAATTAAAAATACAGATAATTGCATTTCCTATCAAAATCCCAATGGCACTTTCCACATAACTAGAACAAATAATTTTTAAATTTGTATGGAACCACAAAAGATCCTGAATATCCAGAACAATCTTGAGAAAGAAGAATAAAGCTGGAGGTATACTCCATGATTTGAAGCTATACTCCAAAGCTATAGTAATAAAAACAGTATGATATTGGCATTAAAGCAGAGACACAGATCAATGGAACAGAATAGAGAGCCCAGAAATAAACCCATACATATAAGGGCAATTAATTTATGACAAAGGAGCCAAGAACATACAATGGGGAAAGGATAGTTTATTTAATAAATGGTGTTGGGAAAATTGGACAGTCATGTGTAAAAGAATGAAACTAGATCACTATCTCACATGGTACACAAAAATTAACTCAAAATGGATTAAATATTTGAACACAAGACCTGAACCCATAAAACTGCTAGAAGAAAACATAGGGGGATAAATTCCTTAACATCAGTCTTTGTGGATATGACTCCAAAGTCAAGGGAAACAAAATCAAAAATACAAAAATGGGACCAAATCAAACTAAAACACGTCTGCACAGTGAAGGAAATCATAAACAAAATGAAAAGGCAACTTCCTGAAGAGGAGAAAATATTTGCAAAGGGGTTAATACTCAAAATATGTAAAGAACTCACACAAGTCAACAAAAACAAAACAATCCAATTTAAAAATGGGCAGAAGGTCTAAATAGACATTTTTCCAAAGAAGATATACAGATGACCAACCTGCATATGAAAAGGTGCCCAACATCACTAGTTATCAGGGAAATGCAAACCAAAACCACAATGATAGGTCACCTCACATTTATTAGAATGGCTATTATTAAAAAGACAAGAAATAAGTGTTGGTGGAGATGTGGAGAAAAGGAAACTCTTATGCATTGTTGATGGGAATTTACTAAAGTGGTGTAGCCACTATGGGAAACAGTATTGAGATTCCTCAAAAAGTTAAGAATAGAATTACCATATGACTCAGCTATTCCATTTCTGGGTATTTATGTGAAGAATATTAAAACCCTATAGTAAAACCTCAATATAATGGACTAATATGGTCAAAGAGGTGTCCATTCATACTGAAAATCTCTTATATAATAAAGTAGTTTCTCTGAATGTTTATGTTAAAAAACTGACAAATTAGTTTACCTGTTTTTACTTATGTAGACACATTTGTATAATTAAAATTAAGTATGTATGAAAAGTTTAATTTCACAGAAAATTTTTCTATATGTATTACAGTCATTTTAAATTTACACTAAATAAGTCCAGTAAATATGTCACCAGTCATCAGGAGTAAACAAAAGCACATCGGTGAGGCATGGCTTAGCGTAAGTGGGAGCATAGCCGGCCTATTAAAACTGTTGCAAAAAGTCATGCCACATGACAATAGGACCAATTATCACATGGCATGTGGTGTGATCACGTGCTAATTATTTGCCAAACATTGTTTACGAGTGGTAACTCTTGGTTTTAAATATGTAGACTATAGTTGTAGAAATTATTACAATTTTTTTCAACATATGGCCTATTTGTTAAAATGTGTTAAAAATAACAATGAATTGATAACAAAAACATAACCTATTAATTTAATTTAATTATAAGCAAATCTTTGTTAAAAGCATTTAAAAATTAACAGGGTGTTAATTTTCACATATGACATATGGATTAGAAATTTTATCCATTAAATCCAAGGTCCATTAAATCAAGGTCCTTAAAATTGAGGGTTTACTGTAATTTGAAAAGATATATGCACTCCTGTATTCATTGCAGCATTATTTACAGCTAGTGGCCTGGTGCACAAAAATTCGTGCACATTAAAAGAGGATTAATTAGAAAAAATATTTTAATATTGCTATTTGCCCTTTCTCTATAATAGAAGTGTCAGAGATGAAAAAAAAAAAAGTAAAATGTATATGAAAATCTTCCTCCTGTCAGAGTCTGGGGCATGCCATGGGACCCAGAGTCAGGTCCCCGCCCACCTATGGTGCCTCAAAA